CCGCAGGACAGCTCACCTACGTGGCTGGACGCTTCAATTGCACGGCGGCTGCAGTAGCTCACTGGCTGCACGTTTGCGTCGCCGAGTGTGTCATCGTGCGGATGCGTCCGCTCACCCTTCCTCCCCTCCCAAATAGCCTTGGCAAAAAGAATGTGCTATCATATGGTGCTGCTATCGAATCTGCTCGGGCCCACGCCCCCGAGGAGGACACGTGTACCAGTATGTCCTTTTGCGTCCCATGTTTCATCCGGCCACTTTTTCCCGCTCTGCCCGAAGCCCCGCGGCGACGACCGCGGCGACGGCGACGGCGGCGGCGGCGACGACGACGACGACGACGACGACGACGGCGACGACGACGACGACGGCGACCGCGGCGACGGCGGCGGAAGCGACGACCACGAGCGCGACGACGACCGTGGCAGCGGCGACGACCCGACGAAGGGAACGTCCGCCCCCCGACGACGGCGACGACGGCGACGACGGCGCCGACAGAACGACGACGACGACGATGACGCCGACGACATAAACGACGACGACGACGCCGACGACGAAAACGACAACGAAAACGACGACCATGGCCACGACCACGACGACGACGACGACGACGACGACGACGACCACGACCACGACCACGACCACGACCACAACCACGACCGCGACCACGACCGCGACCACGACCACCACGACCTTGGCAGCGGCGACGACCCTGGCGGCGGCGGCGGCGCCCCGCGCCGCCAGGCGCACGGGGGCCCCGAGGCCCACCGCCCCCGCGGCACCGGGCCCGCGGCACGGGCCACGCCGGCGGGCGGCCTTCGGAGCGTGCGCGCGCGGCCGTGGTCGTCTTGCGGGCCATCGAGTCTCGGGTATAGCCAGGACCCCGGGTAAGGGGACCCGGTTAGTGGTAGGGCCCTGGGGGCCCCTTCAATTGGCCAGATTCACTGAACCAGGTTTGCCGTAACTGGTGTTTTTCGGGTGACGGCAGTTCGGGTTAGTGGAAATTGGGCGGGGGGGCGCCCCCGGTACAAATCACTAAGCCAGGTTCCGCTAAACCCAGTTCTGCCAACGCCCGAGAGTCGTCCCTCGGCTTCTAGGCTTAAGTCGGGCATGACCCTTTAGAGGAAGAATCCACGGTCAAACAACATTGTTTGGTGACGATTTGCGCGTGCTTTTTCGTGTGAGATTCTAAAGTGAACTACCCTGCGACGTACCCAACCCTTTTAATACACGTGGCGCTTGTATTCAGGACCATTCAATGCTGACTGGCATTCTGAAGGACCCGCAGACCGCAAGAACAGTACTCAGAAGTGAAATCAGAAGAGAGCATCAAGAAGAGGAACACCAAACATACATAATGGAAGCACAATGGCGTTGAAAGAAACACAAAAGCGGAGGGCGTCGAGGGCTAAACCAGAACATCGGTTTAATTCAACAGCGCGCTGCGCTGAAAGAGGCAATGCATGAGGTGCATGCGGGGGCAGAGACTCATCCACAAGTGGAGATAAAAGGGCGCGGCAGCGAACCCAAAGAAAAGAACCCAAAAGTGGAAGCAAAAGGTCGCGGCCTCGAGGATAAGCAGGAGCACCCAGTCACCGCGTGGGACCCACCTCCGCTGGGCCTCCCAGGAGCCCACGAAAGTGGCGACAGTTGCGCAGATCGCAAGCCCCCCGGGGCGCGGCGAGGTCCCGAGGTGGTCCGCATGGGACCCACCTCCGCTGGGCCTCCCAGTTGCCCACAAACGTGGCGACAGTGGCGCAGATCGCAAGCCCCCCAGCGGGAGAATTGTTCGACGGAGTGAACTAAGAATTTGTGAGGTAACTTCTGTAATGCAAAGCTTCGCTCTGCGCAATTAGCAGCCCAAACGAATTGTTAGAACTGCAAAATCGGCTGAGCCAGGCCGCGGAAGGTATGATCGCGTCCCTTTTCGACATGTCGCCAACTAGCCCCGCCCTGTCGCAGAATTCCTCTAGCTCTTCTACCATCAGAGCTCTACGAGGCACTAGAAGTGCAAGCAGACGCCTGAAAGAACTAAAAGTGCAAGCAGATAGCTTCTGATGACATTTCTGTAAAGCTGGGCCCGAGGTGGTCCGCGTGGGACGCTGGGCCTCCCAGGAGCCCACGAAAGTGGCGACAGTTGCGCAGATCGCAAGCCCCCCAGGGGGCGGCGAGGTCCCGAGGTGGTCCGCGTGGGACCCACCTCCGCTGGGCCTCCCAGGAGCCCACGAAAGTGGCGACGGTTGCGCAGATCGCAGATGGCACGAGAGGAGAGGAGAAGGGGAACACAGGAAACAGGAGAGAAGGAGGAGAGGAGGAGAGGAGGAGGAGGAGAGGAGGAGGAGAAGGTGGAGACCACACTGCTATATTCAGAACGAGTACCCAACACCACAGGAGGGTTGGGAACAAATGTTTGATTATTGTTTGACTACTGCTTACTGTTCTTCCGAAATCCGCCTGTAGGAGGACATGCCTGACCGAATCCTTGGCCTCCCAGATGGTGTCCGAGCACGGTGGGGGCCCGTGCGAAGAGACACCTTACGCTTTGCCAGGGTACCCTGGGTTTCGTAGGTCTGTGTTCGGGTTGAAAGCTTGCAGCGATCGCGAAGAAGCCGCAGTTGGCAGCCTTGAGCGTGTTGACGCTGAGATGATTTGCGCGAGCCATCGATTCACCGCCTGACCCAGGGTACCCTGAGTTTCTTCGCTGGCGGCCTCTGAGAAAGAAACCCAACCCTGTTCCAAGAAACTTCGGCGATTCGCAGGGTTGGGTTTCTTTTGATGTTTTTGTTGTGGACTGGTCTTGACTGTAGATGGGGTTGGAAGATCGGGCCGCCTCGCCGATGCATCGGCGATGCGGCTCGATGTGGAGCCTATGTGCTCCACGCCGACAGCGCCGATGCAGCGTGATCCTCCGATTCCATCTACTCGGACCCTATGTCGTCGTGCCGACCATCGGGTCGTCGCCTGACTACGGTCAGGAACATTTGCTTGGCGTGTCCCGCGCCAGTTCCGGCACACCGCGCTTCGGCGCGACATGCAAACCGCGTCCCAGTCCCCATGCTTCCGGTTTGTTGTCATTTTCATCATCTCATGGCCAGTTTTGGGCTTCGGCACCGTCAACACACGACTTGGGGTGAAGTTTCAGCATTGGAAAAAGAAGTCGAGTGGTCCTGGGGCCCACGCATCGAACAAATCGTAGCGCTGGTTGTTTTGGTCTGAGCCTTTGCTCAGCTGTCGGAGATCGGTGCCAAAATGCATTGCCCGCCGTCGGGACGTTTGGCCCAGGGCAGCTGCAAAGGCTATACCCCGACGTGCCACCGTAGAGGCATAAACTTTCGGCCGCCCTCTGGACAGGCGTTTCCGATGGCTGAAGCCAAAACTCTGCCGAACGGTTTTTGTTGCCTTCTATTCGGGCCCCTTCATCCTCTCAGTCGTCCGATGTTCTTGTTTTGTTTCACGATGTGGCGCCCCGGAAGCCTGGACCCCCTGCCAGCCACGGGACCAGTTTTTTTTCATCCTGCAATGGTTGACGGCCCCGGGGTCGAGGGAGGGCGCCTGGCGGCCCCCATAGATCGAGAGTTCCCAAGATCTTCCGGTCGTGGTGTTTCACGCCGCGCGAGGCTGCCAGGACTGTCACGGCAGCGTGCGCCTATATTCGCATGCCCACTGCCAATTCAACCGGGATGAAGCAGGTCTGGGCGGTGGCTTCCCTGAGCCGAAGGACGCATTTGTGCGTTAGGCGCTCAGGCACTGACAGTGATGCTTGAGAACCCGGTCGCGCCCGAGACTAGACCGAACAATCAGCATCGCCGGACCGATTCACATCCCCATTTGGCCATGGCATTTCAGCACCACAAGCACACCCCTCCAGGTGAGGATTGGCCCCGCGACCCCGCCGAAGGGAAGATCATATGGGGCGTTCCAGAAAGGACCTCGCCCTCAGCTCATCTCGCCTCCGGCGGAAGGCCGGCCGAAGCCAGCGGAAGCAAAACGGCGGCGCGTCCAGTGGCGGAAGGCGGCGAAGGTTCGGCGGAAAGCGGTGGAAGCAAAGCGAGACGCCAACATTTGTGGATCCAGGGCTTCCGGTGGAATCATCCATTTCACGTATCCCCACTTGGGAGGGTATCCGTGGATGGCTTGTATACACAGTACTGCGTTGGCGTCTCTCCAAATGCGTCGGCGATCCTCGACCCAGGAGTGGTACGGTGCAAAGACTTCGAGCCCTCGGCGCCGGAAAAACGAGGCACCGTACCGCGTGGGAGCGGGGCTGGAGCGGAGTCAAGACATGCCACCGTGCATGGGCGCCGTTCTCGTGGGTTCGTTGGTCAGTTGGGCCAGGGCCACGTTGACCAGGGCCATGACAGCGGGGCCTGGGATCTGTGAAACGATGCACGGGGCATTGGCGGACGCCATGACAGCGGGGCCTGGGATCTGTGAAACGATGCACGGGGCATTGATCAGGCGGACGGCAATGGGGGGGCAGTGAAAACGTCGGGGGCCCGAGGATCGCAGGAGAGTGGCCCTATAAAGGGGCCTGGTTCCGTCGGACTGCCTGCTTGAGGATGTTCTCTCGGGGAGTTCTCGGATCGGCGCTGGGGCCCCCTGGCTCGCTCCGCACGCCGAGGAGGGGGGTCCAGCGCCGACCCAAGAGAGCTGCGAAGACCTCCAGAAGCTCATGCTTATGCTATTCTCGGTGGCGGCAGAGAGGGGGGTGACGACTAGGGGGGGGGGATATCATGGCACGGGCCACGATATCTCCCCAGATGTCATGGCGCCTCTTCTCGATTCGCCGCGTCCCCGCCCCCCCCCTTGGCCACGCCCCCTCTTGGCTTGGCATCGCTCGGACGTGTGCATTTTTTCTCGGCGAGAACCATGGAGGACCATCCTGGACCATCGAGCCAAAAAAAACGCGCACGAAACCGAAAAATGCACGGGAAATGGACGTCCGAGCGACGGCAAGTTGGACGCCCCCGACGTGTGTTGTTCCTGGCCACTCGAGGGGCCTCCAGAGGCCCCGGCGGCGAGGTCGTCACGGCCACGGTGAAGGGCTGGAGCTGGGACTCGAGGCTGGACGGCGTGCTCGCGGGCGTGCGGAGCCCCGCCCCGCCTGCCGCGCCACCTCCTGCGTGCGAATTCGAGGAGGGCTCGTAGGGGAACGAAACGTGACATAAACATAACAACTTGGAGGTCCGCGCGGATTTCTCGGATTGGCGCTGGACCCCCCTCCCTGGCGCGCGGAGCGCGCCAGGGGCGGCGCTGGAGGCGCCGCCGGGGGGCCCCAGCGCCGATCCGAGAACTCCGCGCGGACCTCCAAGTTGTTATGTGTATGTCACGTTTCGTTCCCCTAGTTCGGGAGGTTGCAGGACTGGGCCTTCCCCTGAGAGAATTGCATGTTTTTCGAAGCCGAAGTCGACTTCCAACAGAAACGTAATGGCTTTGGACGTCGAATCCGAGTTCCGCAACCACGCGCTTATCTCAGCGCTGTGTTTGGAAGTCGAACTCGACTTCCAAAAAGCACGCAGTCTTTCAGCGTGTTCTGTGCAAATCCAGTTCAACTTCCAAGAACACGCAGTTTTCTCCTCCCACCTCTTACTTGTCGCTCGCGCGGACGAAGATGGAGGCGCCGCAGGAGTGGGGGGGGGGGCAGCTTTCCATCCTCCGCCCTTTCCTTCCTCGGTCCTCTTGGTGTGCTTATCTGGCCCAGTGGAACCATTTCAGTGTCGGCACGTGCGGATCTTGTGCTGTGCTGTGGGCGCGCGAGGCTCGAGATTTGCAGGCTATCGGAGGTTCGAGGTTTTCGTTGGCTTCGATGTTCTAGGCTCTCGGGCGCTCCCGCGGGTCCCTGGTTCTCCACAGCCTCGGAGTGCTTTCCAACAGCTGCGCCTCACCGGGAGCGCTCCTGGGGAGCCCGACTCGTCCCGCTCAGCCGCCAGAGGCTCGAGTTTGGGGCAGGAAAAACAAACATCCTCGCCCCTTAAATCAGAGCGTGAATGACCTACCCCGCTTTCGCTTCCAGGCAAAACCAAGCCATACCACGCGCCTCTTCGGTCAAGCGGCCTGGCCAGTACAGGCCGTAGTTTGGCATCGCTTGGTATCTCTTGGAAACGAGGGTGGTCACAAGCGAGGTAGGTTTGTTTTGCAATCATTTTTGGCAGGAAAAACAAACATCCTCGCCCCTTCCAGGAACATGCGACGCAGGTTGTTTTGACAGTCTCTTGGCCTCTGGGACCCTCGCTGGCCCTCGGGACCGTCGGAAAACGACTCGGGATGAGAGGCCGGTCCCTGGGACGTGGTCCAGAACTCTCGGGAGCCACGTTGTGAACAAACACACCGTAGGATCTATCTATGTTGTGTAACCCATGTGGTGCACTGTACGTGGTGCAAACTACGTTGTCCAACCTGCGTGTGCAACCCGTGTGGTGCAATCAGTGTGGTGCAATATGTGTTGTGTAATCGATCTGGTGCGCAATCTATGCGGTGCAATCCATGTTGTGCAATATCTGTTTTGCTATCTACATGGTGCAACATATGTTGTGTAATCTATGTGGGGCGGCGACGGGTTGGCGACGGGGGCAACAAGCGCGGCGACCAACAGATAGGCCCAGATGACGGGCGGCGACGAGGCCGCGACGGGACGGCGACGGCGGCAACATAGCCGCCAGGCCGACGGAGAGGCCCAGTTCCCTCGAAACAGACAGGAGCCCCTGCGTGCAAGCACTGTCTGGGACGTCTGTAAACACCCATTCCTGCTGATCTGCTGTCACAGGGCCCCTCCTCCCCACGCAGGTGCTGAGAGGGGGGAGGGGCCGGCCTGAGAAACGACACCACGACCTGTGCACGTATTCCAAATCCCTTATTAATCATCCCCCCGGTCCGGTTTTTTAAGGCGTTTTTTTTGTAATTGGAGGGGTCTGGTTTATTAGGGCGTTTTCTTTTGATTGGAGCTTAGGGGATCTGGTTTATTGAGGCTCCCCGTCGAAGAGGGGGGTCCGGAATATCAGGTCGCAGTTGCGGGGGGGTCCGGTTTTTTAGGGGGGGGGGTCGATCCTTAGGGATTTTGAGTAGATTCCAGCCGAGGCCACGAGCATGCCTGCCAGGCACATACGGCCAGGGCGCTGAGATGCGGGCGGCGCGGCTGCGGGCAGGGGCCCGCCGTTCCTCTGGCGCTCCTCGTGCACACCCGGGCGCTCTCGGCGCCCCGCGGGGGCCTTCGTTCCCCGTCCTGCGGTCCGTCCAGCAGCTGCGTAAGGTGATCCTCCTCCTCCTCCTCCTCCTCCTGTCCAGCCGTCCGGTCCAGCCGACTGAGCCTGGTCTTCTGGCAGTTTTCTTTCTGTGATCAGACCACGTCACACCAGCGGGTAGATGAACCAGGCAGTTCTCGTAGTGATCAGACCACGTCACACAAGCGGCTAGATCAACCAAGCGTGGCCGCGATGATTGCTTTGGCCAAATAGCAGCAGTTGCGAAATTGTAAGATCTGGAAGGGCTACACTCAAGGCGCCGAAACAAGGACCACGCTGGGTTCGGCAGGGGTTCCGGCCATCAGGCCGTTCCCGCGATGCAGATCCAGGAACATTTGTTCGTGGTTGAAGTTCGCCGCGGCCGGAACAAGACAAACATCCGCTTTGTGTTCAGCGTCCCTTATGGCATCACGATTATTCCAGACGCTTCGCATAGCCCCACCAGCCCATCCAAAAACGATGCCCAGAAGAGTTGCCCTGATCACGGATGTGGAGGAGGGAGGAGCGAGAAGGAGGAGACACAGGCAAAGGAGGAGGAGGAGGAGGAGGAGGAGGTATGATTGGGCCTTCTTGGGGACATCTTGTTGGAAGATATCGACCAAAGAGGGGAGGTCCTTAATTAGCCTCGCCCCGCTGAAGCTCCCAAAGTCGCCTCGTGGGGCCATCTTGGGGCGCTCGAGGGGCGCTCTTGGGCGCTCATGGGGCCGTCCTGGGGCCCTCTTGGGCTTTCTCGGGCCCGCTTGGAGCCATCTTGAGGCCTCGGGAACCCGTTGGAAGCGAAAGGGCGATAAGGCCACAACCATTGATTTCGTTAGGTCTTGGACGGATGCTGGCCCCTTGGGGGCCTCCCCGGGAGTCTCCGCGGCCACTTGGAGCCATCTTGGGGCCATCATGGGGTCCCCTGGAGGCATCTTGGGGGCCATCTTGAGCCAGCTTGTGCCACGTTGCGCCATGCTGGAGGCCATCCTAAATCATCTGGGGCCCTCTTGGAGCCCTCTTGGGGAAAAAGCATCCCAGAGATGCCCCCGAAAAGCCTACACCCTTCAAAACCACTGTGTGTTTTCAATTTCTATGTGGATCGAAGAGGGGGTGTACTTGATTAGCGTCGTCCCTCTGGAACCCCAAGGTCGCCTCTTGGGACCCTCCTGGAGCGCCACTGGGGCGCTCTTGGGCGCTCTTGGGGATGTCCTGGGGCCTTCTGGGACCCCTCTTGGGGCCATCTTTGGACCCTCCTTGGAGCCATCCCAATGCCCCGGAGAGCCCTGGGAAGCGAAAGGGCGAGAGGGCTAAATTCATTGATTTGTCTTTGGTTGTTGAAGGCTTCAGGCATCTTGGGAGCTTCTTGGGGCGACCCTAGCCCACATGGACCCGTCTTGGAAGAGTCCTGGGGCCTCTTGGAACATCTAGGAAGCCATCTTGCGCCAGCTTGAACCATCTTGGAGGCCATCTTGGACTCTCCGAGGCTTCCTTGGAGCCATCTTTGGCCATCTTGGACGCTCTGACGACCCGCGACCCCCCCGTACAGGTTTAGGGGGTTGGGGGATGAGGAGGGGTAGAGGCCCCCCCTTCGCCCACAAGCCGTCTCGCTCACTCCCACCCGCCCTCCCAATTCATAAGTAACACCCGAGGGAGTCTCAACAAATTGCTGAGGAGCGACACGCATGCCATGTGCGCTATTGGTTTCAGGTGCACCAGGCACCCTGGAGGCCCAAGCGAACCAGGCGCGCCATGTGCGGCACATACCCTACGTTTAAGCAGTGTGCCCCGCCGTCCCTGTCAAAAACCCATGCAAAGTTGTCGCGGGGCGCCCGCGCACGCTCCAGATGTGGAGACGAAGTGTATTCTGTATCGGTTCCCGATCGGGATAGTTGGCCTGCGCGCAGCGAGCAACATGACGGCCCGCCCGCCGTCTTGGTCAAACACATATGCAAAGTGGTCGCGGGGCGCCCGCGCATACTCCAGATTTGGAGGCAAATTGCGTTCTGTATTGTTTGTTGACAGGGCTGGTTGAGGGGGATGGCATGTCTCGGGTTGGCCCACAGTCGGGTTGGATCTGTTTTTTTGGTAAGATTATTATCTTTGGAGCAGTGATCAAGGCACCCTCTCCGCCCGCAAGCTGCCTCGCTCACTCCCACCCGCCCTCCTAACACATAAGTAGCACCCGGGCCTCAGCATGTTCAGCGGTCGTCTATGGATGGGCAGCTATCGAGAACCAGTACGGACCCCGTGTGCGCGACGGGGCGAGGTGCGCCCTGCGTGCCAGGCGCTCCAGGTGCGCCAGGCAACCCTTGGGCCCAAGCGTGACAGTCACGCCTCGCGGGCCAGATGCGCCACATGCTCCACGTGCGCCATGTGTGCCGCATGGTCCAGCCGCGCCAGGTTCCCCACGTCCGGGGCACGCGCAGAGTGTACCAGGTGCGCCCGCGCACGTGACAGCACACATTGGGAAACATTCCGGCCCCCACCATCCTTGTCGAAAACCAGTGCACAGTCGCGGGGAGAGGCCATCATGCTGTTTGGTGTGCCTGCGCACAGCAGGCACTATGCCAGCACCCCCGCGGTCCTTATCCGACACCAGATCGCGGGGTGGCCGCGCATGGTCCAGATTTAGCCGCGAAGCGCATGTTGCATGTTTGGGGGCATGGATGGTGCCCTTGCGCAAAGCAGGCAATGTGAGGGCCCCCCGCCGCCCCGGTTAAAAAACACTGCAAAGTGCTCGCTGGGCTCACGAGCAAGACACCAGCTTTTGCCCCAAAGTGTGCTCCGCACCGTTTGTTGACAGGGATAGGGGGGGGGGGGGGGGCGTCGGTCCTGGTTGGCTGCCGGTCGCCTGGGGGAATTAATAGTAATAGGAAGCAGTGGTGCAGTGAAAACCCCCTCCCCGAAGGGGAAGATGGAGGTCGGAAGCGGAAATGCCCCAGACCACCTTCTCCCCAAAGGATTTGTGGGGCATGCCGGCGCCATGGCACCGTCGGGGGCGCCGGCACGTCCCGCGGCCCGCGCCCGCAGGACGACCTACCAGTTCTTGGGCGGGCTGACCCCCAGCGGAGCGAACACCAGCACGGCCTCGGAGCTGGCAGCACAGGCGGCCGCCTCGGGGGCCGCCTCGGGAGCGGTGGCGGGAAGGGCAGGCCGTCGGAGGAGGAGCAGTTTTTGTACCGATGCCGCGACGGCACGGCGGCGGGATCCGAGCCTTGCTGATCAAGGGCTCAAGCGACTCGATGGACAGCGGTGGCAGGGTTCGGAATTCGTCGAACACGTGGCGAAATCTGGACATTGCCCCTGCCTCCCATCGTTTCCAGAGAATCGATGGTTGGTGGGCGTAGGGTTCGCATGTCGCCACCTGCCAGTGGGGACGCGCGTCAAGAAACCAGATGCTCGCCGCCAGCTGTCCCGCACGGCAGCTGTCGAGCCGAGCTCGTGGCCGAAAACCGTCTGGATCAGGGGCAACGAGGGGGGGGGATAGGCACAGGGGAGGATGCATCGACCCCCCTTCACTAGGGGAGCAAAAAGTGACATAAACATAAAAACTCTGAGTTCCGCGCGGATTTCTCGGATCGGCGCTGGACCCCCCTCCCTGGCGCGCGGAGCGCGCCAGGGGCGGCGCCGGAGGCGCCGCCGGGGAGCCCCAGCGCCGATCCGAGAAATCCGCGCGGACCTCCGAGTCTTTATGTTTATGTCACTTTTTGTTCCCCTACCGATAGCCCCCTCCCGCTCGGTGGTATGCGTTTTCGCCAGCGGAGACCCCTCGCCGATCTGTCGACGGTGTATCGCCGGTGCGAGCTCCACGTGTCCCCCCCGAGCCGGCTCCCCCCCTGACGTTCCCCCTGCAGGGGGGAGCGACGGAGGATTGCCCCCGCGGGCGTCACCTGAAGCTGGATCCTCCACCTCTCAGGAGGGAACAAAAACACACAGACACAATTAATCGTCGATTCCCAAGAAAATATGGGAAAGTATGGGAAGTGGGGGGGAAGATGAAAACCCAGAAATATTTGAAAATATGGGAAATAGTTTCATTTGTGTGTATTTATTTGTGAGTCCTGGGGCCCCTTCAACCTCCAACTTCGCGACAGACGTGCCGACCGCCAGGACGACCACTGAGGCAGAGAAGAAGAACATGAAACGAGCGAATGTCAACGCCGATGCTGAGGGAGGGACGGAGGACAGGAGGGAATCTGATGATGGTGATGGTTGTGATGGTTGTGATGGTGATGGTGATGGTGATGATGATGATGATGATGACGATGATGATGATGACGACGATGACGATGATGATGATGATGATGATGATGATGATGATGATGATGCTGGTGATGATGATGATGATGATGATGATGATGATGATGATGATGATGATGATGATGATGATGATGATGATGATGAGGGGGAGGAGATGGAGGGAGGAAAGTCCTTCTCCTCCTCCTCCTCCTCTTCCTCCCCCTCCCTCCCTCCTCCCTCCCTCCCCGCCCTCTTCCCTATCATCCCCCCCCCTCCCAAACAGTCGTGGCCTAGGCTCGTCGTGCCGCAGGCCCCGCCGACGCGCCGCCCCAATGCCTGCTTCGACCGCTGCGGCCCGCGCTGCGGCGCCACTGGATGCCTCGCGTGGGGCCCCTGTGGCGGCCCGCGCGGCTGCGGGCTTGGCCGCCGCATGCGGGTGTTCCATGGCTCGGCGCGCCTCCTGCGCGCGGCGACGGGGCTCCTCCGCACGGCGGTCGCCGAGCTCGTCGGGCAGCCGGCCTCCCCCCCTTGCCGCGGCTCGGCGCCTGTCGCCCGCGACGCCGCGATGGTCGGCTGGAAGCGGGCGGCGGGGCGGCAGCGGCGGCGGCGGGTGCGGGGGCCATCCTCGTCGCCAGGCCGCCGAGGCGATGGAGTCCGACGGGCTGGTCGGACGAGCTCCCGCTGGCGCGGGGGCGTGGCCGCCTGGCGGACGACGCGGGCTTGGGCTTGGGCGATGGCGAGGGCGAGGGCAAGGGCAGGGGCAAGGGCGGCGTTGGCAAGGAGATCGTGCAGCTGCGCACGCACGTCGCCAGCCTCATGGCGCGCCAGGGCCTGCCCGCCGAGCAGATCCCGACGATTAGCGTGGACCAGCTGAGGCCCATGGTCGGCCACCTGGAGGAGATACTGGCCAAGCGGTCCCGGTCGGGGTAGCTACTCGTGCTCGTGGATCGTGCTTGTGGAGCCCGACAGCGTGATGGCCTAGGGCTGAAAGGTCGGCGGCGCGTTGGCGGTCGACTTCGTGTTGGGGGGGACCCGGCTCCTCAGGTGGAGGCCAGGCCCCCCGTGGTCAGGGTTCCGGATTAGCCCGCTGGAGGCTCCCTGCGGTGTCCCGCGGGCGGCTCCCGCCACGGGCGAGGGGAGGGCGTCGACCCGCGCCCTGGGTATCTCGTGCATCCCCCCTCCTCCTCCCCCTCCTCCTCCTCCTTCTCCTCCTCCTTCTCCTCCTCCGTAGCCATTTTGGTTCACGAGCTTCTGGGTTGCCGCGCATCCCCGAGTGGCCGTGGTGTGTCCCCGCCGAGAGCGGGCGTCTCTGTCATGGCGGTTGGTGGATGCTGTGGCGCTTGGGGGCTTGCCTCTTCCGCTCCCGAGTGGGATTGCCAGAGCTGGTGCTCACTACGTGTTCTTGTTCTTCCCCACCCTGCTCGTGGGCCCCGTGCTGCATGGTGGGATGTCGGTGTCGCTCCTATGTGCAGGCCCTCGTGCACAAGCTCCCGCTCACCGAGGCGCAAGAGAAGCGCCGCCTGCGTGATGGTCGATTTCGCGCCGCCCATTCACGTCCTGGTCGCCGCTTCGTCGAGTGCGCAGCTGAGGACCGCCCTGCCATCAAGGCGATGGCGCGGGGCAAGGAGTTCCATCGCAGCCTGGACTGGCGGCGCGGCGAGGCCTCCGCATCTAGCCTACCGCTCCTGGAAGCAGGGCGTGTTTGACCAGGCGGCGGCGCGCGGACAGCGCCAAGCACGTCCATCCTGCGGCGCCACCCGCTCCGAATGCAGCATCGTTGGCTGTTGTCTCGCCCGTCAGTCGGCGACGCTGCGCCGCCGTCTGTTACCCCTCGTGGAGATGCCGCGTCGGCACTTGGGTGGACAGCTTCGGTGGCGAGTGAGACATGGAGCCGTGGGCGGATGGCGTGGACGACCCTGGCCCCCCTGCTCCTCCTGAAGCTGCTGATCACCGTGGCGGTGACGATCTGCGTGATGATCTGTTGGGCGGTGCTCGTGCAGGTGCTCTGGATGGCGGCCGTCCTGGCGTCTCTGCTCTCTTGGGCGGTGCTGGCCGCAGTGAAGGAGCCGCGCATCATGGTGTGCCTCACAGTGGGGCTGCTGCCGCTCCTCGCGGCAAAGGCGTGCTGGATGCTCGTGCAGATGCTGTCACACCAGCGGTCCGCCACCAGACTTGCTTGCAACAGGCTTTTCCTGTTCCCGCCCCCGCTGGATGGCTGGCTGCTGGCGTATGGGTGGCCGCCGGTGCTGTTCCTCCTGCTCCCCAACATGATGTCATTACTGCCTACCTTTTTTTGTGTGGTGCTGCTTTGCGAGACGGTCAAGATGCTGACGTGCATGCCCACCTCCTGCGTGGTGGCGCTCGGCTTGATGAGTCTAGATGTCGTCACGCCACCGCCAGTGGGGAGGATCCACGGGGTGCTGCAGACGTGCTCGGCTTGGACCTTGACGACCTCTGCACCCGCGCGGCCCCTTCTCAAAGATTCGGCGAGGAAGGCGGCCGATGTCGCAGCAGTGGGCGGCATGGACTTCGAGGACCTGCGCCTCCTTGCGGCCCTCCTCGAGGAGAGGGCGAGCAAGGAGGCCCCGACGAGACCGCCAGGCCCACCCTCGCCACCAAGGCCCTGGCCGCCAAGCAGGAGAGGGAGCAGGGACGCCTGAAGTCTCAGCTCCAGGAGTTGTCCGCGCGGCTAGACGGGACGGTCGAGGCACTAAGCAGGCGCAGCTGGCGGCGACGGAGTTGACAGCCCGCAAAATGGTGGCGGCGGTCTCCCCAATTGCTTTCTGCCTCCGGATCGCGGAGGAGGCCCTGGCCGCAGCGCAGCCTTCAGTTGGCCCCAAGAACGCCGCCGACGACGAGCAGCACCACGTGAAGCGGGATGAGCTCACGCCGCTCGCTCAGAAGATTGATGACTCAGTCGCTCGGATCCTGCAACGTTTGCGCGAATGCGAGCAGCAGTAGGCGAAGTCTTGCGACCTTAGAGTTTCAGATTCCAAGAAGGCCGCCGACGGCGAGCAGCAGTGCGCGGATACCTGCGACCTGATCGCGGCGTGCGAGCAGCGAATGCGGGCGCAGTGCCACGCTACCATATCCGAGAGCCTGGTGGTGATGACCGACCACCTCCAAGGGCTTCTCATGGAGGAGACGGCTCTGGCGCTTCCCAGCGCGCAACGGCAGCCTGGCCTGGCCCGCAAGATGAATATGTGCAAGTTCTGCCAGGCCAGCATGTGCTCGCGCGGTGGCATGTGCTGCTTCTCGCACGTGCAGGGGGGCGTGACGATCGTGGAGGCGCCGCATGTGCTCTATGGCGACCTGGAGCAGCCGCATGTGGTCCTGCCGACCCTCATGGAAGTTCCGAGGATGCTTATGTTCTTGATACTGGGCAGGACCAGGTTCTTCGTCAGGCTGCTGGTCATGGAGACGGTGATCTCCCCCCCTTCGCGGCAGCAGAGTCCTGGCGCAAGGTTCCGCGCGCAGGCCACTGGCTATGGCAAAAGTGTCAGATCCTCACGGGCGCCTGATGGATATGTTGGACCAGATGGTTGAGGCATGTTTTTTGTTGGTGGAGTTGTCGCAGATAGTTGCGCAGCTTTTGGTGACCGAGTCTTTCGTGATGGAGCCGTTGCCGATCTCCAGGGCGCGCGTGCTGATCCTCTGCCTGAAGTCGCAGACCGACGCGGCAATGACTGTCGTGTTGGCCCTAACGCAGATCGTCGCGAGGCTGCTGTCGAGCGTCGCTGTCATTGTGCAGCCGCCGACGGGGGTCGGGCCGATAGTCTCCCTGCTGACGCCCGCGAAAGTTTTGGGGCTACGCTTGTCCATGCGGACGGTCGCGGAGTGAGTGTTGTACCTCTCGGGGCCGCATGCCGGCGTGGAAACGATGGTCGTGCTGATGTCGCCGCAGGTCGCTGTGAAATTGTCGACGATGTTGGGCGTGGTCGTCCTGGCACTCACGCTGCGCGGGGCGCTAGTCCCCGCGCCATCCCCGGTCGTCGGGCGCAGCGCCAGGATGCCGTGGCGGCGGCGGCGCATCAAACGGTTGCGCGACGCGCTGGGTCGCGGGCGAGGCGGTGGCGCGCGTCGGCGGCTGACGCGAGCGCCGCGGCCGCGGCCTACTTCAGTCTCGAGCGACGCGCGCGACTGCAGAGGTCCCTGGAGTCCAAGACGAGCCAGGGCGTGATGCATATGGTCCAGGAATCAGGGTCCTGATTGAGGGCGGGGCCCCGCGCTCCACCCTTTTGTTCCGCTGTTTGGAACTCGTCGCCCGCCGCCTCTCTTCGTCTGCGTTGCACGCGCGCGCAATTTAATCAGGCGCGACGATGAGCGAGCGCGCGCGCGAGTGCGTTAGATCACTCCAGTTTGTTCGGGATGACCCGCGCCCCCCTCAGACGCACTTTCGCTGACCAGCAACATGAAGGCAGAGCGCTACTCCTCGAGGAATCCTTCGTGGACGAGTTCGCGGGGAGGACGCGGGCCGCGCTGGACGCGGGCCGCTCGGCCGCCCTCGACCCGCGCGGCCCCCGCGGGGCGCCGAGATCCCCCCCGCTTCGACCCGGGGGGGGTGCGAGGCGAATCGTCATCATCAAGTTGTTGTCATTGAATTTGTGCATTGTTGCTCCGTCCGCAGGCGACCTGCGCGACAATGGGAACGGACAGTGGAGCGCAGATCGTTCAGACGCCGCGGAATGGGAAGCGCGCCTGAGAAGCGCGGGGGTTCTGGGGTGGGGCTGGGGGAACTTCTTGTTTCGAGAGGTCATCTGAGCGTTCCCGGATGGACAGGGCGCGCCCCGACAACGACCCGAGCATTTCCTTCATGGCCGATTCTTGTTGCCGCGCTCTGGCCCTGCCCCGCGGCTGGTCCGACCGCGGGCCCGGGGCGCTCGATGTCCGTCCTCGCTGCAAGAGGTCGCGGGCGTCATTGCCCTCTTGGGTTCTCGGCGGCCATGCGTTTAGAGACAGGGTGTTTTCTCGGGCCACGCCGCGCAGCGCGGACGCGTCGCCCCACCTCGACCTCGTCGAGTTCAGGAGCAGCATTCTCCAGAGACACCGCGAAGGCACACCGCCAGCGGATTGCAGAGAATCGCGCAGAGAAGCTATCTGCCAGCATTGGATGTTTGCGGGCTGCTCTTCTTGGGATGTGGGTTAGTATGGGGCGGTTGCAAACCGCCCACCCTCGGCTTCGCGCGGCGCATGCTTCTCCATATGCGCCTGCGCATCGTGATTTTCGATTTCCGTGTCAGGCCTCTCGTGTTCCGGGCATATTGGTGCCGCTGTTCCTGGAGCTTGCGTTGCTCATGCTGCATGGATAAGCTGCGCCGCCGTGCTTTTTTTGTTTGTCATCTCGCGCGCCTGCTCCTTGAAGGGGTCGGGCGCGTCGTCGTCGGCAGGCGATTCGTTCTGCAGCCCCGCCAACCCGCGCCCGCTTTCGTCGGAGCTAGCAGCCGCATCGTTGCATCAATCTTCAGAGTGAGAGATCGGCGGCGCCCTGGGTCTCCGCGCCTCAGCGCGGCTTGATCCAAGGGCAGCTAATATTGTGACACTTGCTGCGCGTGGATTTTGAGGCGCGGGAGGTCTCTGCGACATCCCCTCGGCGGGCAATGCTCCTCTTTGGTTCCTGGTTTGTCTTTCCCACCGTGGATCGCCCTTTTCACGCGGGCAGTCCTCGAGGGTATAGGCTGTCCGCTTCAGAACGCCCGCGCGCTACATATGTTCGGCATTCGGGGCGCGCAGATGGCGCCACCGTCAACAGCGGGGTGCGACAGGGGCGCCCGCTGTCGCCGCTGCTCTATGTCATTTGAGCAGATGTGCTGTTTAGGCAAATCGCAGAAGTCATACATGGCCATCCGGTGTTTCGCGCTTTCGGCGGCAACACAGCCGCCGCTGTGAATGAGTATGAAAAGGCATCCTCACTGCTCATCCAAATCGCTTGGTCAGTTCGAATCGATTTCTCGCATGGCCCTGAGCGTCAAGAGAGCGGCGTTCATCCCCTTCTGGAAGCGCAGCTCCGAATGATGCATGCGAAACGTGATCGCGGAGCTGGCGCCTGTTGGGCGGGGCATCGCCCCTGCAACGAAGGGGGGAATAGTTTAGATTATAGGTCGGCCCGGGGGCGTGCAGCAAGTCGCGCGCAAAGCCGTTGAGGGAATTCCACAGATGGGTATTGTAACCAGATGTTATATCTACCGGCCATTGCTCTCAACGCGTTCCCTTGCTCTGTCTTATCTTCTGTGAAATGAATGGAGGAGCTGCCAGCGGATTTTGCCGATCCCTTCGCGCGGGGCATGAGGGGCATCGCGCCTGTCCCCGGCAATTTGGATACGCCTGGTGGCGCGTTGAAAAGGACGTTCGGGTTTCCGTGCTCATTCACGAAACTTGCAGATTTTGCGCAAGCCTCCAAATTCGGGCCGTGGACGTGGACACCTTTGCCGCCGATTGTAAGGACTCTTGCGCGGAGCCTGCGTCCTTGGACGATGCCGTGTTGCAGGTTTTTGTTTTGTCAGCTGGCGTCGGAGCTCGTGTTCTGTTAGTTTAACCAGGGCAGAGGAACGACTTGGGCCCCTGGGCATCACCCGCTGGGCACTTCGCCGGGCCATCGTTGCTGCACTTATTCAGCAAACGAGACTGAAATCTTAAGCGGCAGCCATGTTTGTGATCAGGACCCAGGTCGGCCATCAAGGTCATTCGTATATCGCGACGGAGTTCCCCAGGCAATGCAGCTGACAATCCGGAGAGGATTCGCACATCTTTGCACTGGTACACAAGTGGTGCCCGCATCGGGTGGTTGAATCATATCTTCGTATCCTGTTCGACGGATGGACCACTCGCCGCCGCAGGCGCCACGCGGATACTTCCCATCAGGGTGTTTTCGGTATCGTATTGTTTGGTCGTGAACTCGGCGAGGATAGTTTGGAACAGGATTCGATATGTTCATTGGTTTGGGATTTTTTCGGGCGGCAAAACTTTCGGTATTGGACATTCTCTCCGAGCCATTCAGCTTTTCTTCCCCTTGGACGGATGCGCATGCCCACGGCGAAAACAAGATCTGGACAGCTCTGGCGGTGCACGCTGTCTACCTCGCAACCACCCGCCTGCGATACGCGGTGGTGCATTCTGCGCAGAGGATGGGCGCGCAACGGTTGCTCAGCAGATAGGGTTGCTTGAGAGCAGAACCTTCTTGGTCATGGCAGCTGTTTCGCCCATGCGAACGGCTGTTTTAGCTGAGAGGTTCCCCACCAACTCTCATTATCCGTGTGGCGGGGCGTCGGGTTTTCGGGAGTTGACAAGTATGCGTTGTGCGGGGGAAACTTGCGTACCCGTCCGCGGGGTTTCACCCGAGGCCGTTGGCCATGGAAGTTGCGTCTCTTCTTGCGTATTGCACAGGCACATATACGTAGATCGATCCGTGTATATGATATTCTGGTGCTGCTACACATTACGTGCACACGGTGTTCGTCTCCAGCTGGCTGCGGCAAGTTCTGCCACCGAACCAGCCCAGCACTCTGGTTGGCGATTGTTCGACGGGGCGCGCGGGGCCGTCACGTGTGACGCTTTGTGCTTCCAGGCTTGGCAGCGCCGTAAGATGTTGAAGATGGTGATGATAATGAAGCGAAGGAGGAGGGAGGCGAGGATGCCGATGAACATGGGGATGTGAATGGGGAATTGGACGAGGAGGAGGAGGTGGAGGAGGAGGAGGAGGAGGCGGACGAGGAATGCCGTCACATGTGACGCATCCCGGGCCCAGTATTTGAGGAACTAATTTTTATGGAAGTCGTTCGGGTTGTCTTGAGGCTATCTGAGCCTCCTGTGAAGCATTATTGGGAGCCCCCTGGAGCCCTGTTGGGCCGTGTTGGGGGGCTCTCTTGGGCCGTCGTGGACCGTCTTGGGCCATCTTGGGCCCTCCTGCCCGTATGGTGTGTGTTTGGGGGCCGTCGCGGTGCCATCTTGAGCAGGCGACGGGCCTTGTAAGGCCGTGTTGGGTCCCACAGGAGGCACTCTTGGACTGTCTTCGAACCGTTTTGGATGCCTTTTGGGCCCTCGTGGAGCAATCTTGGGCAATGTTCAGGCCCTCGTGGGGGATTCGTGGGCCGTCTTGGGGCCATCGTGGAGGCTTCATAGGACGTCTTGGGCTGACGGAAGCCCGAACAGGCGAGAATGCGAGCATCACTCAAACACCGATTGCGGATCAATGATGTTGACTTCTTCGGGCCCTGTTGCAGGTCCTCATGTGGCCCCTTTGGGCGTTCTGAGATGCATCTTGGGCCGTCTTGAGGCCATATTCGGCCGCGTTTGGGTCATCTTGTCGTCAGGGAAGATTGGGCCATCTTGGTGTCCATGGTTTCCTGCATGGGCCGTCTTGGAGGCTCGGGACGCGGATTCATCGTTTTCTCAACGAGGGATCATGTCTTCGGCAGCGCGGATCCATTGGGATAGTGGCTTCGGGATGGGGGTGGGCGCAGGCAACCCTCTGGCACGAGGGGAGGTCCCGTCATGCAGTGCAGGAGCCTTACAGAGCAGCACCTGGCATTCCAACATGCCCACATCGTGCAGGCACGGTGGCGGATAGAGGTCCGTGCGTGCGGGCTCCCCATCATACGCGTACCCGCACGCATTGCTTACAGCTCTCCCGGCGCGCGCCGCCTCGCCGCCAGGTGCGCGCGGCGTCCGCCGCCTTCGAGTCCAAGTCCTCCGTGTCGGAGGGGGTGGTGACCAACACCTTGCAGCAGGTCGCTGCCGCCGCCGCCTTGCTCGCCATCGTCGTCGTCGTCGACGCCGTCGCCTTTGCTGCCGTCGTCATCGCTGTCGTGGTCGCAGTCGCCGCTGGCGTGCTGTGGCCGCCGTCGAGGTCGTCACTGAGGTCGCCGTCGTCGCCGCAGTCGGCATCGCACTCGCCGTCGTCGTCGTCGCCTGGGCCTGCCACCCCTTGGCAAGGCCGCCGAGAGGCGACCTGACCATCGATCGTGATACATGCCAAGCTCCCGCCCCTCTTCATGTCTTTCCCGTTTATCATCCTCCTGCTCTCCTCTCCTCCTGCCCTCCTCGCCTCCTCCCGCTTCATCATCATCGTCCTCCTTCTCCTCCTCCTCTACCTCTCCCACTCCTTCCTCCCGCTTCATCATTCCCCTCAAGCTCCCCTTCCCCTGATCCTCGTCCTCTCACTGCTTCGGCTTGGGCCTGCACTGCTGAGAGTTTTGTACCCTCCCTCCCATAATTACCTCCCGCCTCATCCTCCCGTGCCCTCGCCAGGTGATCCCAATTCCTCTGCCCTCCTCTGTCTCCTCATCGTCATCCTCCATCCGGGAGCCTCTGGCCGTGACAGAAAACAATCGGACATGCCGAAGACGCTCCTCCTCGTCCTCCCCCCCTCCTTGTGAGTCCTGCTTGCTCGTCCTCCGCCTCCGCCTGCTCCCAGCCTCTTCTCCTCCCTGTTCTTATCTGCCCTCGCCCTCTCCCAATCTTCATCCTCTCCATGCCTCATCTTCCTACCTCCGTTCCTCCTCCCCCTGCCCCTCCCTCCCCTCTTATTCGTCCCCTCTCCCTCGTCCTCATCGTCCTTCCACCTCTTCCTCCCATCCCCCTCATCCCCTGTTCATCCTCCCCGTGCCACCTCCTCCGCGTCCTTCTCGTCCCGTCTCCCCTCCCCTCTCCTACCTCCTCCTCATCACGTCACTCTGTTTGAGCGTGGCCCCGAACAACGTGCAGACCAACCTGATACCTGTCACTTCGGCAGCACACGTGGAGGCAAACGCAAAGCCCGCTCGGTGTACGGCCAGGGATGCTTGCTCAGCGTGTCGCGCGCCGCATGCCCTGGCCCGACGCGACACGCTAAGCCCGAGTATGTTTTTTGGGTGGAGGGCAAAAGGTGAAATCTGACATGCCGTTCCAGTGAATTGTCGAGGCTTCTGCGAAAGGTGAATCGCAAGACGGATCGATTTTCGAGGTGCACAAGCCCGCATGGATTTGACCCTGAGCCCTCCACCCTGAGGAAATGCTCAGTAAGCACGTTCCGGTCCCCACGCATTGACGTGCCGAGCCCGCCCAGCCTCCCGTCGCGCGAGGCAGAGCGACACGTCACGAGCCGGCAGAGAACAGCGTGTCGCAGGGGCCGCCGCCACGGCACGCTAAGAGAAGCAGTTCCTGCTTGTATGTCTGGCACGGCGGAGCTCCGAGCTTCGAGGCGTCCTGGCCCTCCAGAACAGCTTACGCCTGCTGGCTCTGCTCAAACGTGCGGCCCACTCCGGCCAACGCGTGTCGCACTACGCTCTGAAGGAGCAGCAGGGCAGCAGTCTATTACTCAGGCGAGCTGCCCTGGTCGGAGGAGCCGGTGCTCCCTTCCCTTCAGGTTGAATTGGCATGACGGTCTCGATTGGCTTGTGAGGCATTCAAGGTTTCCCGCAGTTCCCACCCAGGTCCAGATGAGCATACCGCGGAGGGCTCCATGCTCACATGAATCCAGTGAAGAGCGTGCTGTATAATTGTTCGAATCCGAATGTTCTGTGTCCGTCGTGCGCTTTCACCTTCTATCGGCGGCGAGCGAGGGGGGGAAGTGAGACGGAGAAGGCCTTCTCAGAAGGCTCGGAATGCCCCCCGGCCTTCTGAAAAGTTGTCTAAGCCTTCCCCGAAGACAGACAACAATTTCTCGAAGGCGCGAGGGCTTCAGAGCAGTCCCGCCGCCTTCTGAGAAGGCCTTCTCCTTCTCATTTCCCTCCCTCGCTCGCCGCCGAGCCTATCACATGCACGCGAACACTTCGTGCCAGCGTGCTCTGCTGTGTGCGAGATGTGGGGAGGCCGTCTTCGGCCTGGTAGTGGTCATCCTCGTTGTCAGCCTGGCAATTGGCGGGAGGGATGGGCTTACCCCGCGCCATTCAATACAGTGGAGGCCCATGCCAAGAAGCACCCTGCTTGCCTCCAGGGTGCCCTGGGTTTCTTAGGTTTCGATGGTTTTGCTATGGAACGCGTGACGTGCCCACACCAAAAATCCATGGACGTCTTTGGGTCTGACGGTTGGGTTTCTTTTTGGAAGGGTCCTTGTGGTCGAGCCCCTATTGTATATCAGAGGTCGTTAATTGAATATGGTAATTCGTTTGCGCATCGCGGTAGCACATCTTTACGAGGGATGTTGTTTGCTAGCTTCCCGGTCATAATATGAAGGCCATCGGTTTTGACATGGCTATCTCACGATGTATTGTGCTGACATGGGTGGGGCGATTTCTGCCAATTGCACGTGGGATCGTTGTAGTTCATCCGAGTTGTGCAAGGTTACCATGTGCAGCGGAGACTTGATCGTCACACGGGGTGGGTCCTTGTTCTCAGTACAGAGGAGCACCATAATAATATTGCACAACGTTTGAGTCTGGTTTTCCTCACGCTTCGGAGGCACATGTGCTTTCTTAGTGTTAGAGTGTCGTTTGTCGCACGAGGGTCCTCGTGCCTACACTTGGCAGTTTCTCGGCGCTGTTTAGTGTAAAGAAGCATTTTCAGTGGCAGTCCCACATGCACATGCAGCTTCGAGCTTTGAGCTCGCGCCGTGCAGAGCGTCGTCGTGATTACACTCGCTTTATGCCTGCGCACTCGAGAGCGCGAGGCAGAGTACGCTGGTGAGGGCAGGCGCTTGTAAGAAGCACGCGTGGCAGGGTGCACGGATGGGGCAAGGGATTACGCATCGGTGTTTCGTGCGCTCCCCGCTGTGGCGCGCTAGGGGTTTGGGGCAGGCCTGCTGTTCCTGCTGCTGGGGCCCGGCTTCCTCTCCAGCGGCAGGACCCCTCCCCCCCGAGCACGTGGCAGCTCGGCCACCGCGCGGTTTCCCCCTCGTCCTCCTCCAACTATCCTCTCCATCATCTCTCCTCCTCCTTCCTCCCCCCTCTCTCCTCCGTCCTCCTCCTCCTCCTCCTCCTCCTCCTCCTCCTCCTCCTCCTCCTCCTCCTCCTCCTCCTCCTCCTCCTCCTCCTCCTCCTCCTCCTCCTCCTCCTCCTCCTCCTCCTCCTCCTCCTCCTCCTCCTCCTCCTCCTCCTCCTCCTCCTCTCGCTCCCCCTCCTCCCTTCTCCTATACCCACTGGTTGTTGGACTAGTGCGGCCGAAAACCTGACAAACCTGCTATGATAGCGGAGCTAGTCAGCTCCGCGGGCCCTCCTTTCGGTCGGCCGGCCCTCCGCGCAGCCAGCGCCGCGCATGCCCGTGCCTCCGCAGGCAGTCTCGAAAACAGCATTTGTGTTCGGAACATCGGCGGCCTCACACCGAATTTCAAGAGTCTCGACAGGTTCGGTCACAGCTAACACGGCTACCAGCACCACCAGTTCGAAAAGTCCCGTTAGCATGCGAGCCCGCCTGACCTGGGGCAAGCAGTTCTTCATATCCATGTGTTTCTTTTTCAGCGCCACCTTGGCGCACCACCAGCAGCACGGCAAGCATCAACAGGGAACCCTCCAGATTGAAGAATTCACCGAGTATATTCCTCCAGCATGTCGACCACACATCAAGGGCTACACGCTCAGACGGTGCATGCTGAAGTTGAAGCGATGGCGGCGATTCACGGAGGAACATCAATCTGAAATAATTGGCCCTCTTGTAGCATCTCGATCCCAAGGAACACCATTCACAACAACGATGCTTTTCTCTCGTACACGCGACGGCATCACATATCGAGGATACGAAGCAATAGCTACCAAGGGATGGCAGCAGGTCCATGCGTCAAGAAACTTTACCAGGCAGTCGGCATTTTCTTAATCAGCTGAAAGACACGAAGTTTATGATTGACAGCGGGTTGGAATTATGTTGGGTTGATTCTTCGGGTGCAAACGAGGACATCGCATCTCGCCGGCTTGATTTTTAAGGGCGCGTGCGAAGAGAGTTGATTTGTCATGAATGACGCTGGGCGCAGTCAATTCCTGCTCAGGAACAACGGTCTCTCGGACAAGAGGCTAAATCACTTGATGTTGCACGTCGCAGGAGATGGTTCACAGTATCGAGTATTGCGAGGATTGATGATGCGGCTCGGTAAACAGGATCAACTCGGACACCATCATGACTGGGTACGGGACGGTGACAGTGGCGAAGGAGTAAGCGACCACGACATGGAGGAGTCTTGGTATGAAGCGTATAACGATGAGTACGAGTGGGGCCACGACGCCGACTACAGTTGGACACCACAGATGGATCATGGTATGTCCAAGAATACGACGGCAGATGGGCCAAGTGCGACGACAATGGAGGCGTGATAGAGTATTATGAGGCAACTCAGGATGATGCTGACACGTACGTGTGCGGCAAAGGCGCGGGAAAGGCAGCAGTAGAGGGCGACGACGCGGATTTCGACGATGCTTTCCCTTCAAAGGTAAAGGGCGTGACAATGGTAAGAATGTAAGTAAAGGGGGGACCAATGATCGCATGGGTGGATCAGGACAATGATTAGACGGATGTGAGATATGCGGCTGCGAATGACATGACCGAACACATTCCCCGGCAAATGATCGACAGCGACAACATCAGCAGCAAGCACCACCAGCAAAAGGACGTTACTAAGACGGCAAGGGCAGCAAGCACTATGCCAACGTTGCCGGGCTCGCGGCTGCCAATCCGATGCCAGTGCGCCAAGACCATGCAGATCAGTGAGACCTTCACAGATGCCGACGCGACCTCCAGGAACCTGGATCACTGTAAGCTCGATACTAATATGCTCGTCAGCAACTGCGATGCCCGTGAATCACTACTATCTACCTGAACAGGCTCTGGTACCTCCAGGTGACGCACAGGCAATCCACCGTCTTACGACGTCGACGACATGCGAAGATGCGCGAGGTGCTTCCGCCGGACCTGAACGGCGCGCGCGACGGAGGCTCGGGGGAGACCGCGAGAGTGGATCGCCCAGGGGCGTTTTCGGGGCCCGGCAATGGCAACATTGTCTTCGGGCGCCAGAGCGGGGGGGCGGGCATTTGAATAGGCGCGCGACGCAAGTCCTGGATTGGCGCGGACATGGCGCATCGAACGTCGCGGCAACGGCGGCGCTGGCCAGATGCAGCGGCGCGCGGAATGGGGGCGACGCGGCCCGCGTCGTTCGCGGCGCCCGTTGCCCGTAGTCGCAGCGTCCTTTGCGGCGCGGAGACGCGGGCGCCCGCCGCGGCGAGCGCGGCGTCGCGCTCCGCGGGCGGCGCGGCGCTGGGAGATTGCAGCCGGGCGCGGCGGGGCGGCGCGGCCCCTTCCTAGCCGCGCCGCGCTGGAGGGGAGGGAAGGCGGCGCCCGAGCGGCCGCGGGGGCGCCTTCTCCAGGCGGGCCGCGCGCGAGGCGGGGCGCCCAGGCGGCGGGGGCGCCGCGGGCGCAGCAGGAACGAATGCGCGCGTGCATGCGCCGATTCCTGTGACCCACATGCGTCTGTTATGCGCGTGCGTGCGTGCGTGTGTGTTTTGTCTGCGCGCATTGATTTATGGTTGCGCGTCTTCGGTCGGGGTTGCATGCGCCCAGTTTCCGCCGCGCGCGCCCGCGCTGTGTCCCGGGGGGAACGGGGGCGCCCTCGTGGCCCGATGGCGACGTGCCCTGCGTTGCGATGCCCCCGCGATGACTCTTGTACTCTTTAAGAGTTGAGATGCCGCGAGGCTTTGCCGCCCCTGGCCAGAGCCGCCCGCCGCCGCAAACAGCCGCGCGAGTAGCCGCCCGGCGCCGCAGTGCGCGCCCGGATCTCTTTCCCGCCGCCGGCATCCTGGCCGGGGGGCGGGCGTCGGCCGCGGGGCCGGGCTCGCGCCGATGCACGTGGTCAGGGCCACGTTGCCGCGACGCGCGGTGCGCCATCTCGGCGCAAATGCAAGACTTGCGCAGCGCGCCCGTTCAGGCCCTCCCCGCCCCGCCCCTGGCGCCCGAGACAGCGCTGCTATCGCCGAGCTCCGCCAAGCGCAGCGCCCCCGCCCCCGCCCGGGTCATCCGCCCCCATCGTCTTCTCGGAGATGCCACCTCCAACTCTTGGACCATCCCCACCTGTCCCAGATGACCGAGCAATTCGCGCACCACGACGGGCAATTCGAAGCAGCTCTGCCGCGGCGTCGCGCGGCGCATCTTCGATGACATTGGCGCGCAAGTTATTTGCGCAGCGAGATCTGGCGGCGATGGGACACGCGCATGGCCCCGGCGAAACAGCAGCATCATCGCGCGCGTCGGAACGCCAGCAGATCGGCATGTTTCAAGAAAGGAAATCGGTCGCCAACGACATCGGCCCGCGCATGGCCCTGCGCGCGGTCGAAGGCAAGCCCCGCCTCTGACTCGCCGTTGACCCCGGCGCAGCTCAAGGATTGCTTAGAACCGAGTCCCCGCTCGACTGGCATCGAGATTTTGTCCCCCGGCAGGCGCCCAGCGTGACGTTAAAGCACCAACAGCGACATTCACGGGCATCAATGGTCAAGCAGATCATTCACGCGGCAACTCCCGTGGGCAAGTTTGGGTTGAAGGCGCGCGTGGGGACCGCATATCACGCGGCTCTCGCAGGCGGGGCGGGCGCGTGATGCCCCGGCTTTCTGCCCGATAGCGCGATGTCGCGGCATAACTGCATTCTCCTCGGGAACATGTTCGGCAACGGTCACGGCATCTTGGCGTGCATTCCAGACGATAGATAACCGCGATTGCGAGTTCATTGCGCACATATTCGGGGAACTACATCTTGCCCTTTCACGAGCTCAAAACGCAGGCCGACCAGATAGCAATGCACGTGCTTCAGCAGACCGCGGACAGGATCGACAAGCCCTAGATGGCTTCCGTGTATCGCCAGAAGCCTAGGACACAGCCGCGCGCAGCCAGTCAACTACATCAGTGCCCTGATGCGCAGAGTCAGAGGGATGCTGTACAACTTGCATTGCGCGTTGCGACGCGACCATCAGCGCAATGATACGGAGCATTTGAGAATCAGAACGCCAGCGATTTTCATGGCTGCTGGAGACGTGTCAATGGCAGTAGAAATTCACGATCTGATTGGCCAAGCAACTTCGAGGACGCGGAACGCGCGCGAATGGCTCGGGAGCGCGGCACGATCGTGGACGAGAAGTTCCATGATGCTCCACGGCTACTCGCTAGGCGGCGGGGGCATTTCCGAGCGCTCATGCAGCATGCGCAGCCAGTGCTCAGCAATATGGTTCCCATGGTGGAAGTTTCCCCTGGCATGCCTGATGTTTTACGCGCAGCTTATCGAAACCACTTGATATCGTTCTCACCCATTGATTATCGTTGCGGCGGGAATCTCCTTCGATCAGACAGACCATCGACAGTTGCCGGTGGGGTGGCAAGAGGCTTTTGATATTTTCGCTTCTTTCATGGACTTCAAGTGCCGATCGCGGTCGCAGTCCGACAGCAATGTGGGCCAAGTTGAATTGGGGAACAGGCGAGGCTGCGAACGCCCGGTTTGACCGGCGCAGCACAGGTCTACGAATCATCACTGGACCGACGCGGAGGCCAAGAATCATGGGGAACCCATCGCGCCCAGAAGTGTGGAATTAGTCGGATCTGTGGCCAGCGCTAGACATTGCAGGGCGCGGACAACGCGACCATGCCACAGGACAGCGCGCGCGCAGCGCATGGCGCGAGGACCTGGGCCTTCCGATTCGCGAGAGGGCGCCTTCCGGGAGCGCGGCCAGATTGAAGTGGCAATGTTCGAATTCGCAAGCGCATCGGCCCTCGTGCAGGATTACGAGGAGCACTCGATAAAGGACGCGAGCGGCCTTGATGGCAGCGCATGGGGTTGGACTCTCTCGATCATCGACCAAGCGCACGCACGGATGCACGCGTGC